CAGGCCTGGCTCCCCTGGCCGCCCACCCTCCGCCACACCGCCCAGGCTGCGGGCCCCACAGATGCTGGGGGGAGGCCTTTGCAGGGGTGGGAGCTTGCGGAGGCCTGGCCCTCCCCAGGGAAGGCGGGTACTGTGGCCTGGGAACCCCTAAGGCCTGGGAACCCCCAAGGAGCCTGCCTCTCCGTTCCCCTCCATCCCTCTCTCTCTCTTTAAATATTTTTTATTGAAGGGAGAGGAAGAGAGAGAGAGAAACATCCATGATGAGAGAGACTCCCGGATCGGTTGCCTCCTGCTCGCCCCACACTGGGGATTGAGCCTGCCACCCGGGCATGTGCCCTGACCGGGAATCGAACCGTGACCTCCTGGTTCCTAGGTCGATGCCCAACCACTGAGCCACGCTGGCCAGGCTAAGATGCTGCTTTCTATACGCTGGAGAGACTTGCGGAGAAAGACGTAACCCTTCCATATGCAGTTGCATCCCTGATAGGACCCCCACTCGTCTATGTAATTTCTGGTCTCTTTACTGTTTTTATAAAAACCCTATAAAACAAAAATAAAATAAATCCGTGCTGGCATTTTCACCCTGAAGCTGATACCGAGAAGGAAACGACATTAAAAATGATCCCCAGCCCGGCCCGTGTGGCTCAGTGGTTGAGCGTGGACCCATGAGCCGGTCCGATTCCCGGTCAGGGCACAGGCCCGGGCTGCGGGCTCGATCCCCCGTGTGGGGCGTGCAGGAGGCAGCTATCGATGATTCTCTCTCATCATGGCTGTTCCCATCTCTCTCTCCCTCTCCCTTCCTCTCAGAAATCAATAAACATGTATTTAAAACAACAACCACAACAGAACAAACCCCGGCATTGATGGGGAGGGGCCTCTGTGCAGGAGAGAGGCCCTTGGAACACGGTTAATGTCAAAGTCACGGGCGGGGAGGCCCAGCCGACAGGAAGTGCCCAGAGACCCCACTCCGAAGGCCCCGCTTGGCGGCCCGCACCGTTCCCCGCCCGATTCAAACGGGCTGAGAGGCGTCATCGCGACTTTGGAAAGTGAAATGGATGGGGGAGATTCTCTCAGGGCTGCATCCGCTGGGGGCTACGGCTACGAGGGAATGATAAAGGGAGACCTAGGTGATGTCCAAATAAACCCACTGTGCTCTGGGTCTGAGCCCCGTCGAAGGCGCCCCCCCCGCCCCCTGCCCAGGCCTCCAAACAGCCTCACGGCCTCTGGGGACGCGCTCCACCAGGCCGCCTTCTCCCTGGCTGCCCGGGGCAGGTCATCTCACTGCTTAGCCGACACCCCAGCCTCCCCACGGGCTGCCTCCCCAAAAGGCAGAGAGTGCCCCGGGACAGCAGGATGATGGGGCCCTGCCGCTCACGACTCCCCAGGCCCAGATGTGAGCGCATCTGCCAACGCCAGGCCCTCTGCGCTCCTGAGCCACTTCTCCCTCATATGAGCCTCTCCCCACTTCCCCTCGCTCCACGGGCCTCTCCCCACTTCCCCTCGCTCCACGGGCCAGCCAGGTGCAGGCGAGGCACAGAGCTGCCTGATGTTTCGCACCCCGACCAAGGCCCGGGCCCAGGAGGAGCCTGCAACCCAAGTACCTGGCCTTGACCGGAATCCAACTGGGACCCTTGCATCTGCAGGCAGACGCTCTACCCACTGAGCCACACCTGCCAGGGCTCAGGGCTCAGACCTTCTCTCTTGGAGTTCCCGGGCACCCTCTGCCCCTCCCGAAGGCCCACCAGTCCCGGCCCCAAAGCCCGCAGCAGAGTCTGAGGGGGGCACGGGGAGGCGGGGTGGGCATCGCTCCCAAGCTCTGCACGGTTTTGAGGTTGAAAAGTTTGGGAGCCCCGAGCTAGCCGGTTTGGCTCAGTGGTTAGAGTGTCCGCCTGTGGACTGATAGGTCCCAGCTTCGATTCCCGGTTCCGGGCATGTAGCCAGTCGCCGGCCCCATCCCCAGTGCGGGGCGCGCAGGAGGCGGCCCATCAATGATTCTCTCTCCCCACTGATGTTTCTATCTCTCTCCCTCTCCCCAATCAATAAGAACATATATATATATATTTTAAAAAGTTTGAAAGCGCTGAGCGTTGCCGCCCAAGAGCCAAGCCC